ACTCTAAAATTCACTCAAAAACCAAATGGAACTTTTTGGTCCCATATTTCTTCTCAATATAATCTATCCATCTTCTCCAAACCGAAATATATCTTTCTTGTGAATAGTCCTTCACATAAGCGGAAATCTTGGCCATTTCTGCTAAATTTGAGACTTTAAGTGACCATTCTTCTATAGTGGGCAGACGTTCCGTTTTCCAGTATTGAGCTACTAGTAGTCTTGCAGCCGTTATAAGATTCAACATCAAATTCATTTCTTTAACACCTAAATCTTCCATAATACCTAACAAAAATATCTGCGGTGTAAACTTTATCTTTTTGTTAAAAACATTTTGAATATTCCACCAAATTTTTATCCAAAATGCTTTTATTTCCCTACATGTCCACCAAATATGAAAATAAGTTGCATCTAAATTTCCACATCTCCAACACTTAGGTTGTAAATTAGGATAAATGCACGACAATTTTTGAGGATCCAAATGCCACCTATAAAACGTTTTATAAAAATTTTCTCTTAGATTTTGAGCTTGAGTAAATTTCACATTTCTAACCCAAATTGTTTCCCATGTATCCAATGAAATCGGTTCTTGAATATTTTGAGCCCATTTTATCATACAATCCTTGACCAATTCCGTTTCTGAATCCAATTCTATCAAAGCATTATAAATTCTTTTAATATGAGCTTGAGATTGATCTTTGATCTGTTTAATCAAATTTCCATCCTGCAAAGTAATACCAACTTTTTGATCCAAACGCCACCTCATTAACAATTGATTGTAATAAAACCAAGAATATTCAATATTTTCTTGTTTTAAATCTACTAAAGATTTAATTTGCCAGTCTCGTCCTACCGGACGAAGTAGTTCCTTATAAGAAACTTTATCCAAATTAACTCCCCTAGACATCCCCTCTATTACCTGTCCTGGAATTGCCCAGATAGGAATTTTATAATTTAGTTTATAATAATATTTCTTCCAATCTCTTAATAAGGCACTTCTTAAAATATGAGCCTTAAAATTTTTATCTACCTTTTTATCATAAATTAAATATGCCTGCCAACCAAATAACAAATCCCATCCTTCAAGGAAATATTTTAAATAGGTAGTTCTAGTAATTATGCAGGCAGAACACCAACTAAGCAGAATAATCCAAACCAGCCTCAGGAATCTATGCTTTTTTTTCCCCTTAGCCATGCAACAAAACGTCTTCTACTCCCTAAAGTCAATCTGCTGCCCTCTTATAATTAAGTGAAATTATCAGCTAACATATTCACTATTTTTAAGGAGAAATCTGTCTCTTAATAAAATGAGAGAACATATCCTTGATGCTGTATCACTCTTTCCCGTAACTTGTACTTAAGAGAAAAGCTACCATTTGTTAGAGCAGAGGCAGAAAACTGTTCTTGCCACTAGAGGTCAAACTTTAAAAAAATATTTTCAACAAAGTGTTAATTGCAACAGATTAAAATACAGTATCCTTCCAATGCTGTTTTGAAATGGAATCCAATGTTACTGCTAAACTAATAGCAGTTTCCAAATAGGGCAAACTTACATACAAGATATTCCAATAGTCTAAATGTGATTAATAGTAGGCAAGAGGAGAGAGATTATTCACCAAACCACATGGACCGGACAAACAATGCATCCTCACTACTGTTTTCTGAACCATTTGCAACATGTCAAAATGATCAGCCAGACCCTCTTACAGATTCATACACATTTTTAATCATTCATTTTCATTCAGTTATTTTGGACTACAACTTCATAAATCCTGACCATCAATCAAGCTAAAAAGTTTCATCCATGAATAATCTCACATGTGTTAAAGGCATAAGGCTGACCACAATTCTTATAAATTGTATATTTTGATCCCATTTCTCAGGTTCTCTTCTATTCTACCTTGTGCTGGTTCCAGTGATTTAACTGACTAAAACTCCAACCTATCAAAAACAGTACCGTAAAAAATGGATTAGAAACACAAGTTAAGATAGGCAAGAAAATGGTAAGTGAACACCTGTCCAGCCTAGACAAATTCAAATCACCAGGACCAGATGGATTACACCCCAAGGTTCTCAAGGAACTGGCAGATGTGATCTCAGAACCATTGAACTATATCTTTCAAAGTTCCTGTAGCACTGGGGAACTACCAGAGGACTGAAAAAGAGCTGATGTAGTTCCCATCTTCAAAAAAAGGGGAAAAAACGGATCCAGGAAATTACAGACCTATCAGCCTGACCTCAATACCTGGGAAGATTCTGGAAAAGATAATCAAACAACGAATCAGTGAACACCTAGAGCACAGGTCGGCAACCTGCAGCTCCGGAGCTGCATGCAGCTCTTTGAGCCTTCCCCTGTGGCTCCCAGCCTCCTCTGCCATTTGCAGAGAGACAGAGACAGAGAGAGGCACTTGCGCCTCTCTCTCTCTCTCTCTCTCTCTCTCTCTCTCTCTCTCTCTCTGTGTGTGTGTGTGTGTGTGTGTGTGTAAAAGAGAGTGTGCACTCACAGTGTTCTCCGACAAGCTGAAAAGCTTTTGGGGCGAGGCTCCTCCCTTTGCTGCGTCTCTGCAGGAAGCAGGAAGGGCAGGAGAGAGCTAGCTAGCCCAGCTATGCTGACTCAGGAATTCTGGGAGTTGAAGTCCATGAGTCATAAAAGAGCCGAGGTTGCCTACCCGAGCTTGTTGGAGAACAGCTTGAAGCCAGCTTGCCAGGTGAGCAGAAGATCGGAGAGAGGGGGGGGAGAGAGAAAGAGAAAGAAAGAGTGGGGGAAGAGGACTGGCAGACCAAGGGCAGAAAGAGAGAGAGGGAGGGAGAGAGAGACAGAGAGAGAGACCCTTTTGACATCTAAAATGAAGATAACACTGCATATATCCTTTTTTACCTTTATGATATGTGTGTGTGTGTGTAAATATACACCCTGAGTCCGAAAGGAGAAGGGCGGGATATAAATACAATTAATAAATAAATAAATAATAAATATGTATGTATGTATGTATGTATGTATGTATGTATGTATATGTATATATATACACAGTGCTTTTTTTCTAAAAAAAAAAGGTGCCAGAACTCACACGTCATACAACCTGCCTTGCCTACCCTACAAGGTTCCATCCAAAAAAGGTGCCGGAACTCCGTTCTGGGCGTTCTATGAGAAAAAAAAGCCCTGTATATACATACATACATACTTGTTTTCTGAGACCTACATACATACATACATACATACATACATACATACATACATACATACACCTATAATAAAGGTAAAAAAGGATATATGCAGTGTTATCTTCATTTTAGATATCAAAAGGGTTTTGCGGCTCCCAGTGTTTTGTTTTCGGTGGGAAACGGGTCCAAGTGGCTCTTTGAGTGTTTTGGGTTGCCTACCCCTGACCTAGAGGCATTACCAAAAGCCAACATGGGTTTGTCAAAAAGGGGCGTTGTCTTACCTGAACGCCTTTTCTCAGCATGATGATGTAGAATCCACCGGTGGGTAATCTCAGCCTTCCTGCTCAGATGAGACTAAGTCAGAACTTTAGCCACGCCTCCCTCTGGGAGTCTCCTCCAGTTATTGACGAGGCGAAGCATCCATGACGAAGTCTGACGCAACGGCTCCAATTATCATGACACCTGCCTAGACTGCCTTAAGGGAGGGTGTGGATTCTACATCATCATGCTGAGAAAAGGCGTTCAGGTAAGACAACGCCCCTTCTCCAGCATGATGAATGTAGAATCCACCGGTGGGACATACCAAAGCCCCTCATGTCCCCACGGGGAGGGAAAAGTCTAGGCTTGTGTACCCTGAGAAGAAACCACTTGCTGCAAAACTCTCCTGCCAAACGAGGCATCCGCCACTGCAAATCTATCAAGCTTGTAATGTTTCACAAAGGAAGAAGGGGAGGACCAGGTCGCTGCCCTACAAATCTCCTCGACCGACGCCTGAGTGGACCAGGCCACAGACGCAGCTGCACTACGTGTCGAGTGAGCGGTGATATGTGTAGGAACTGGAAGTGATTGAGAAAGATAGGCCCGAGCAATGCATGCCCTGATCCATCTACCAATGGTCGAAGAGGATACCTTCTGACCCATGGCAGAGGGTTGAAAGGACATGAACAAGGCCTCTGATTTACGAAAAGCCAAGGTCCGCTTAACATAATAACGCAGAGCCCTGCGCACGTCTAATTTATGCCATTGTCTCTCCAGACGATGGGATGGATTAGGACAAAAATCCGGGAGAACCAGGTCCTATGACCTATGAAACCAAGTATTAAGCTTTGGAACAAAGGAAGGGTCCAAACGAAGGACCACCCTATCCTCAAAAAAGGTACACAAATCACTCCTAACCGATAGTGCGGCCAATTCTGAGATCCTCCTAGCTGATGTGATAGCCACCAAGGATGCCACTTTTAAGGAAAGAAAGTGAAGTGAACAAGACCTGAGGGGCTCGAACGGCGGAGAAGACAGGACTTGTAACACCTTAGGTAGGTCCCAAGAGGGATAACGATGGACCACAGGTGGTCTGAAGTTAACCGCCCCTTTCAGAAAGGCACTAACTGCCGGATGATGCGATAAAGGAACCAGGTTGTCACAGGTAAGGACCG